AACCAATATTGCACATCATAATAATAATAATTGCATTTATATAGCGCATATCCACGCTCAAGAGCATGCTCTATGCGCTTTACAACCATTATTACCCCAGCAGACCCTCTGAGAACACTCAGAAACATTCTCGGTTTCAGCGGAAGTAGGCAGTGCAAGCTGCGGATTTCACGCGCTCAAACACTACCAAACCGACAAGATCGTTCACTGTCTATAGCTGGGTACCCATTTCCACTTGGGTGAAGCGAGGAAAATTTGTGCAAAGTGCCTTTCCCAAAGACCCAACGTCGGGCCCCTGACGGGATTCGAACCCACGACCTTACGGTTGCGAGTCCGAGAGCCTAACCACTAGGCCACCGACGCCACAATATTATACCTTCCAAGACTGGCAAGAGAAGAGGCCTACAACTCCTTTGCTGAGCAGATATCAAACTGTAAGACTAAAGAAAAGACAGACACTCTCTAGTTTACTTTCCGCCTTCACTTTCAAAAAGGTTCCGATAGATCTAAAAACATTCTAGTCGTCGGCATGTAAAACTTGGATTTCATAGCGTATCAAATGTGGGTCAATCAAAAACACGTCTTCCGGTCCCATTATGGAAGAAATGCAGGTTTCGACGGCCATGTGATAATTATTTCAGAAACTGATTTAATTACACAGCGCTTATCCAGCTTCTAAAATAGCCCCACGCGTGACAATTGGCTGACGTTTGTGTAATGTGTATTAACACAAAGCGATTGGTGTTGTCACAAGAAAGCCTTTGTGGGCTGAACTTTGGTCCCTCTTTTTATGATGTATGCTGTGACCATAGATAGCACGTGCTATCATTCATTGGTCTCTTCACAAATCATGATTCACATATCCCACGTCATTAAATTATCTTTTGATTACCCGTATATATATGACTTTGGTATCATTACGTCAGACATGTGATTGGGCATAAGGAGTGATGATAGGAAATGACCTCCACCGGCGCCATCTATGATTCACCATTGGTATAGAAAGGACTAATAACAAGTCACCGAATGAAGATCTTTTAAAATGATTGAATCCCGAAATCTGAACTGGCAATCTTTGTCAAATTTATAAAACAGTTCAGCCATGGTAATAATGTTTCTCCTATAATTATAGCCATTCCTTTTCAAATACAACTTTCTGGACTTTTTGGCCCTAGTCTGAGGATACAATGAGGAGTCTCTTATCTCGGGGTAGATTCCTGGTGAAGCTTAGTCTGGCAAAGACATTGGAACAGACCGCGGACAATGCCAACTGCACTCCGGCAAGTATTCACGATTCACCTCAGTCAGGGAGCCACGGGATTGCTCATGGCTATCATCATCGACTCCGCTTCCCCCCGGTGTCTTCAACATTTTACTTTTAGGAATTATCAATGACCTTCTTTAGAATTATCCTGAGTCTGAGATATTTTTCTTTATAATACTGTTGCCAGAGATTTCTAGAGTCCTAGAAAGCAATCAGGGTGAAGTGATGAACATAAGATTTTGATAGCGGCGAGATATATTAACATATTGGTGTGATGTTCGCAGAAGGAATGAATTCTTGGGACTAGATTATGAACCAGTCAGCAAGGAGGTAGGTAGTAGAGGAATTGGAATAGGAAAGGATAAAAAATGGTCCTGGTTGGGGACTTCCTTCTCGAAAGATAAAGATTGGCTAGCACAACTGGAGACAAAATGAGACCAAAAGGCGTGGAGAACAAAAGCAAGAATATCTCAGCAGATCCAAGAAGACGCTTTTGTCAGAAAAATAGATGCCAATAATATGACAATTTCAGTGATGAGGAAAGAGAGATTTTTTTTAAAAAACAGTACAGAGACTCACGTGAGTACAGAAGAAGACATTAGTAACTCACAGAAAAAACTTGATGTGTACGGGAGAAGTGTTTTAGAAATGCTTGCTGAATCTGAATCAAGGGACCAAAGGTTCAGAAAATAAAATGCTTTTAGATATTTTCAAAAAAGTATCTGACAGTTTACGGAGAAGAGTTTGCTGACAGTTCTTTATGCTTCTTCATCTTCTTCTTCGTTCTCGATGACAGCAGCTAGACAGTCAGATCGATGTCGTGCACACACTGTGCAGTCCACTTCAAATCTGAGAGACTTCCATAGAGCTTACTCTCAAGGGGAGTCACATTCTGCCACGTCTGTGTACAAAGGGTGGTGTAGCGCGGCAGTGCTGAAGGATATGGTTGGCATCCTCTTGGTCGTGTCCTCATTCACAGATCTCGGACTCTCCCACTTTAAATTTAGCGTGCATATGGTGTGGCCACTTCGTAGTCGAAAGACTGTGACCGGGTCTGCTCTATTTAGCATGTAGTAGTGGTCCCGCCTGTTGTGCTCAGGGTGGGATCTTTTCCATCTGTTTCTTAAGGCAGATTTTATTAGTGTTTTTGACTCTGAGAGATCCATGCCGTCTGCAATCTAGGTCATTTTGGCTCCTTTTTTTTTTTTAGCTAAGTCGTCTGCTTTTTCATTTCCAGTTCTTTATGCCAACCAGCAGACTTTTGAACGTGATGCGTTAGGAACTGGATGGTAAACGAGCAGCCAATCACGAGTGCACGTGCGGCTGACGTATCGCTCTACCTCAGAATTACAACTCTATCTGCTCAGTACCTAGTTTTGAGAAATTTCACGTCAAAGATTTTGAGTTTCACACCATGGCAAGCTTTTTCAGATGCAGTTCTTTGAATATCTTGATAACGACTCCGAATAATATTATGATTTTGATATAGCATATGTGAAGTGTGCTGACAAAATGAGTTACTTCTCTGAATTGACCCCTATGGAAATAGATACGTCATGCTTATAAGTAAAGGTTTTACCATAAGTAAGTATGAAATAACTAAAGGCATTTAGTACTTAATGAATATTGCATCAATAGTAAACCTAGAAATTTGACACTGGTGTCAATTTTTGGCCAATATCTGCATTTGTGGATTGTGAGAAGTAATTCATTTTGTCAGCACGCTTCACATATTATAGAACGTTTTGATTTCTGATCTCATCGGCTTAGTAACTCAAAACGGCCAAAAATGTCAGATAGAACTTTGTAATTCTGACGTAGCGGTATACCGGGGCAAGGAAGACAGACCTTCTGTGTTAAGTTCTCTAGCAAGTTATCACGGCCACCATGACACGAATGGCTACAATATGGCTCACCTGAGCCCCTTTTCCAACGCTTCGCTGACGTGTACATACTCTACACGTCAGAGTACATGTATACATAAATGAAGCAGCGATAGTTCTGTTACCAAAAAATCAGTGCCATAGTATCGTAACGAAGGGTACTGCTATGTTGTAGGGGCTAGCACAATAAGAAAAACACATTTGTGAGGCAGCGTGGAGGAATCAGGCTCTCGTTAAAATAATCAAAGTGAAGAAACTTGCATTTTTTCCGCAGGTTGGTGAATTTTTATCGAATTTTTGTTTTTTTCGCTCAACACCTCTCATGCCTATTAACGAACTCATTTCTGTGTTAATTTTTCTGGAAAACGTTGATTAAAGGCACCAAAAATGTAATTTTTCAGTTACCAAGGACTATTAAGCTAAGGAAATAACTAATCTTTGGCGGCCATTTTCTCACTAATTTTACCTCTGAAAACAGGTGACCCCCACCTCCTTCTTTCGCAAATATCTCGACTTGTATTC